AATGAGAAGGACGAAGAAATCATGATGACATCAGAGTCGAGAAGAGGTCCTAGGAGAACGTCTCGAAGGTATGATCAGCCTTGTCTATTTTTCGATAACTCCCATGAGCATTACTATCCCCCTCAGAACCCACAATACTCTGTCACTCCACCTCATTATGTTGTCCAGCCACCAAATCACCCAAGAAGGCGAGCACGAGCATCACAAAATCTCCACCAGCCTCCACAAAATTTTTAGGTGCCCTATAACCCACATTCAAGCCAAGGGTATAATGGGACACAAAGATTGAATGATAATTTTACACTAATAGGAGAGTCCTATGCAAGCTTATTTGAGAAGTTAAAGCATCATGACATGATCGCACCTATTCCTCCAAATCATGTGGACCCACGTGCAAAAAGCTTTGACCCTTCTAAAAGGTGTGAATAACATTCCAATGCCCAGGGGCACAATATTGAAAGATGTCGGTATTTGAAAAGAGAAATAGAAATGATGATCCAGGAAAACTTGATTGTAATCCAAGATAGTGACACCCAGAATATCGCGCAGAATCCTTTACCTGCACATTATGATGCACACTTTGTGGGGATGATGCCTGGTGACATGGAGTATGAGAATTCTCTCGGGAACTTGTTAACTGAAGTTAATGATGTTGAAATTGGAGAAGGCTCTGCTAATTCTGATGAGCAAATTTGTGGCTAAATGTCAAGCCTAGCAATTGAAAAGTCATTCCCTCCTCACTAGGAAGGAATCTTGGTAGTTTGTTTTGATGTTTTTTCTATTATCTGGGTTATTTCAGGGTTGTGACCCAGATTTTATTTGTTTTATTGGGTCAAACCCTTCTATCCCTCCATTTTGTTTGTGTGAGTCTTGTCTGTCTGTTCTATTGCTATTTTCATTATTCGGGTTATTTTAGGGTTGTAACTCGTATTTTGGGTTGCTTGTTTAGTTGTAAAACTCTTTCATCCATTACTCAATAAAATACAGTTTGTCCTTTTGTGTCATTCTGTTCCTAGTTCTTTTGTCGCTAGTTCTAAT